TTCTTTTGTTTCGCGTCATTATGTATAAGTGTTATAAGCTGTAAATTAAAACCTATTTAACAAATTTTACTTCCTGGAATATATTCTGCATATCTTTAGTATTAAAAAATAATAATAAAAAATTGATCGAAAAAATTAATTGAAAATTGACACGCAAATTTTAAAATTCGAATTTAAAATAGGAAAATTTTGAGTAGTCGAACACTTAAGGCATGCAATCTAACTCTTCAAGCTCAGTTAAGCTTTAGCTCATTAAAAATTCTTTGAATACAAGTAAAGAAAGTGTGAACTAGTTTCAAAATAAGTTTAATGAAGGAGGAAAAAACGAATTTTATAAATAAATATAAAATTACTCATTCAAGTGTAGAAAAATTTTCATATGAATGAAAATGTCATTTTGTTTCAGAGTTTGTTTCTATATATAAATTTCTATAGTTGCATTTAAATTTAGACATAATCAGTACTAAACAGCTTAAGTATGTTTTATTGTTAGTGCATAGAGAGAGACAGAAATCAGCAATTGTACTATTTTTGGTTCCTTGAAAGTCGAGAAATTCTAAAATTACGTTCGATCAGATTGCCAGTTCAGTGAGTAATAACGTACTTAGACAAAAATTTGAATTCCATTTAAAAGTTTATGTCGATAAAAGGGCTCCGTGCTTAAAAATATTCGGATTTTTAGTTGTCGACTTTTTCTGCTTTATATTTCTGCCCTAGAATTGCTGTGTCCTTTTACACTTTATAAATTATCTAGCATCTATTATAGTTTATTGCCTTTTTTTTTTTTTGAACTAATTTGCATAAAAATTTTATTAATAATCTGTGAATAGGATTTAGTATTAAATTAATGTTCTGTATTCAATTTAAATAAATTACAAATTGTAATTTGATACTTCAAAATTAATTTTTTACCCCTAGAATTAATGGTGAATAGTTTAAATTATAGGTTTCCCTTGCTTAATGTGGGATTTGATTAACGCGCGGAATTAATTGTGGCAATCCCTTTATATACGCAACAGAAGTTTTAATTTATGTGGCTTTACAAGCCGTCTTTACTTAACATAGATACTGTGTTTTGATTAATGCGATTTTGATATATGCGGTAGGATCGAGGGATTAATTAATCACGTTAGTCAAGAGATACTTGTACATTTGAAAACATATATAACCTTCAAAATATTATAAGCATGTAAATTGTTTAAGTTTGTATCATAATTTATAACTTCAAAATTATATATTTTTTATTAAGATTAGAAGAAAAAAGTTGTGTTACTCTTAAAAATATTTTATATATGATAAGGGCCTGATTTATGTATAGGCTAAACAAGCTACAGCTTAGGACCTGATGTTGTTTGCATGTATTATTATTTGGTAGTAGCTAAGGGCTTCTTTTATGTTATAGATTAGAACTACACACAACCCAAGGATTCATATAATTAACACATTCTGAAGGAGTGTGTTAATTATATGAATCCTTTAGGTTAATTCAGCTACACACACAGTATTTGGCCAAATGATGAGCAGACATTTGAGCAGTACAGAGTAGTGTGAATGATTTACTTGCAACTAATGTTTGGTATTTGTCATTTTCCACTCATCGTTGGTATATTGTGCCAAATCAAAGGGGACGAATAGGCAATTATTTGGCAGTTGACGAATACTAAATGTGTGGGGCCACGTTTACATATATACGTTGAAGAATTAAATAAAAAAGTTTAGATTTATTTAGATAAATTACTAAAAATATTTTAATTTATTATAACTTTAAAATGTTATTTTATTTTTTATTAAAATTAATAGGGGAAAAACTACCTTACTCTTGAAAATGTTAAGATATAATCCTTCGGAATGTCTTAATTATATGCATTGTTTAGCTTTGTACATGTATACATCCATAACCTATTTTTTTTCTTTTTCTGTCATTTAATTGTCAAAGTAAAGAATATAATTATGATTTGTTCTCAAATTTTTTCATTGCTGCTTTAAAATATAACATTGTGTTGTGGTTCTAGGGAAAAAAATTGATAGATTAATGACTCTATATTTAATTGCCATATTCAAAAACTTGATTATTAGTTTTAAATTGAATTGTAATTTTTTTTTATTTTTTGATATAGCCTTTAATGCATTAAAAATTACTAAAATACCTGTTCTGAAATAGTAAATTGCATATTGTAATTACTTAAAAAATTATCTGTGAGTTTATTTAATTATTGTTAGTGTTAATGTTTTTTCAAATAAATATCGTAATATTACGTAAATTAGTTTTTTAAGAATTGATTGACACAGAATAAATTTGCGCGCACTGTATGTTACTGTATTAATGGGTATTGCGAGCGTTATAAAATAATCGAATTTTTATCTTGAATATAATTAAATTACCAGATTATGTTTTAGAAATTATTCAAATAAAATTTAGGATATTGGCATAGATTTTAGAAGCACCTGTCCTTTTCATTTCAACGCTTGTTTTAATATTTAAAAGAATTTTAAAAAAATAAGTAGATATTTATTAAATTGGACGCAAAAAAATTGATGATAAACGTTTTGTAACTTCTCGGTCCCGCCATTGGATTAAACTTTAAGAGCCAAACATAAAAATTTAGTTGTCGGAACGAAACATTCTCGAATCAGGAAATGCTTATTGTCCATTTTTTCTGTGTCTGACCTCGTAATTTATTAATTGTTTTTAGAAGCTCTGTAGAATTTTGCGACGGAAATTTTCCGAAGATTTTTTAGCATTTAATCCCAAATGTATTTAAAAATTCTTTTATTCTTAAAATTAATTAAAAATCTATATGAAGTTTTAAGCATTGTAAAATTTTGATGATTAAAAGCATTTATTTTTTTCAATATATCAAAGTTCTTGTATAAATTTTAATTTTGTGTGTTAAAGATTGAATTAAAGAACAAAAAAATAGTAATAAAATCGACTGTAGTGTCACTCTTAAAAACATTTTAAAAGATTTATATTTTGATAGAGACAGGAAAGTAAACAGACTATTGTTATTGTTGCTTATGCAATCTGAATGTGATGTAATCATAGGTAATGCCATATAAGTTTTTAAATATAATCTCTAGAAATAATAAAATCTTAAATGTTATTTGCAAATTTATGCATTGTTTTTATTCTTTTTATTATAGAAATATTAATATATCTACAATTTAAATATTTAATACGTGTTTTTGATTTTCTAGAAGTAAAGAATGTAAAAATCTTTTAATTTGATTTATATTTTACATTTCTAAATATGTGTTTGGCATAAAATATGAATTCTTAAAGTCGTAACTTAATACACACCGGGGTCAACCTAAGCACCCTTCCAGCAACGGAGAAGGATGTTTAGATTTTCAAAATATGTCATCGAACATTCTGTGCTTGTTCCATAATTTGAAGAATTCTAATACGTTACATAAGCTTAATGCATTCTATTTGTAAAGTTTAGAATTTTTTGTTGGACCTGAAGCAGAGTAATCGATATAGTCAAAAACGTTCGTCAGACTTCTCCTTCATTGCTGGAAGATACGTTAGATTGACCCTGGTACGTATATGCAGTATATGCGCTTTGCTTTATTTGTACTTGATTTTTTGTTTTATATTCCTGTCTCTACTGCTGTTTGAATTCAGTTCTTAGATTATAACTGTATTTCATATGATATTTTGTTATAGTTTATTGATCTGTAAAATATTTTGCTATATTATACTGAATTACTTTAAAAAAAAACATATTCTAAAGTTTAATTCTAATTATTAAATTTATCAAGAAACAATAGATTAACCACCTATCTCTAAACAAATCAAATTGTATCTAATTATTAGCCCAATAGATAATTTGATAGATTGTTCGGCAATGCAAAAGTTTTACTAGAGATTGTCAAATGCGCTACGTAACAGTTTAATAGTGAAATTTAATATAGTAATATTATTCAGTTAATGATAATATCACATTAATGTACTTTGCAATTTTGGTTTTATATAACAATTTCGTATTTATATTACTTATTAATTTGATAGAAGAAACAAACCTATTTGGTATCATGTGCTAAAGTAAACTTTCATTAAATAGAAATTATGAAAAATATTGCCTTAATAACTATAACTATTTACTTTTAAACATTGATTAAATGATTCTTTTTTAATATAAAATTGGATATACACATTCATTGTAAAAGTTTGGTTTGTAATTGCAGAACGTTTACTAGTAACTAGTTTGTCACATGTTTATTTGGGATAAATTATATAACGTTCATTAAAAGATTTGTATTCCAGATCTAATTATTTAAAAAAATAGATTCGTAACTTGATTCCTGTTTGTTGAATTTATCTCAAACATAAACAGTATCTGGAATTTTACTAGGTTATTACTGATTGGCTATAAATTTTATTAATGATTAGAATAATTTGACACTACAGATATGTATGTCATTATATATTTGTTGTATTGATCTTTTTTATATTTAATTAATTACTCCTATTTGATCATTAATAATATCAATATGCGGCAATTTGTCTAGTGTTGTTCCAAATTATTTTTTTAACCATTAATAGATTTCGTGATCAATTGATGTAATTTGAACAATTTAATAAATGTAAAGAAGTTGTGATTAATAGTAACCAAACAAACAACAGCAAATTGCATCTCTGCCCTGGTTTATTGTTAGATTGCCTTAATTAAGAGGGAACAAACTATATTTATTATACCATACTATAAAACAAAGTATATTATGCTGATTGGAGGTACTAAAGACAACGTTGTTATGATGGTCAAATGGTAAATCAAGGCCCAGTAAGTGTCCTAAAAATTACAGAAAATTGCAGTTTTTATAATTTTTTAGAATGGGGAAAAAATAGGGGGAAAATGTGTGAATGGATTGAAATATTGTGCAATTACTGAAAGATTTATCAAAATATACACATCATTATTATTATTAATATTAATATATTTATTTTTTTAAATTTATAAATGGTATTTTACATTTTTTGATTTTGGAATTTTTAGTTCTTATAATGAACCATGCCTGGTGTAATTGATGGTCAACCATATTGGGAAGAACAAGATTCACAAATAAGGTAAAGTTTAAATTTTTAGTATTTGCCTATTGTAAATTTTTATTGATTATTAGAAATATTTTACAGTAATTATTGTTATTTATTTACCTAATTGTAATTATAAATTCGAAATTGAATTTTAGAGGCATTAGTTCTCGGTCTCACCAAAGAGCTATGTCACCATATCATCATGGAAATGAGAAGATTTCAACCAGGTCACATCATTCAAATGGGTATGGCTCAGGTAAGATTAAATTTAACATTTTATTTTATTCAGTTCCGTAATTATTCCTTTTTAAATATTGGAATTCTTGCGAAAAATTTAAAAAATTACAACACACCACACCGGGAAATACTTAATAATGCACACAGAACTAATAACCGGTGTGAAGAAAACAAAAAACTATCTCAAGACAAACATTTTCCAATTCCTTCTGAGTTCTTCTTCTGGCATTAGAATGGTTACCAGATGGAATGTAGTTCAGAATATAAAAGCTTTATATTTTTAACACACTTACTAAAACACCTTTTCTTGCAGCCGACGCTTTATTATAACAACTTTCAAACGTTTTCGGTCTTGTTAAAAGACCTTTCTCAAGAAAATAAAATTAACTATGTAACAAAATAAACACCACAATCGTAAATCGAACGCTTAGTACGAATAACTGTTTTTTCAAATCTTTCGAACTCGCTTATAATCCGTTGTACATGACATCAGTGTAACCGGAAATATAAAAGGTTACATAACTATCTAAATATAAATACTTAAAGATGCCATCTCCCTACATCGTTCAAAAAATATAACTTGAGATACATATTAACTACTTTCTTCAATTATTAATTTTATATTAAGCTAGAGGACCATGCTGCCGATATTTTTGTCGATTCCCGGAAGTTGACTGCAAGGCCTTTATGCTTTGCCTTACAAATCTGCCAGGCTTCCGCGTAATGTCGGTGTCTCCTGTCTTGAACTATCTGCATTAGTCTTGCTTGGTCCCATTCAACATTGACGTCTTGCTGGTCCGCTAGAACGTAGGTGGCTAGCGCAGTGCAAGGTTGTTTTTTCTTATATTTGCTTGATGTTCTGCTAACCTGTCTTTGATACTTCTTCCTGTTGCCCCTACGTATATTAATTTACTTCGTCGCCTTGAGTCCGTAACTGGAATTTTATATACCCCGGGGAGTTATATATATAGTGTGTTGATATTACAATATGCAGTCTAGAAAGAATTGCTTTATATTTTTTTAAAAGTAAAAGAAAAATTTGAACCAGAATTTGAAATATGAGTATAAAAATTTAAAGCCGCACATTCATTGCTCTGTGCATAATGAAGATTTAATCAATGCCTAAACTGTCGTGTCAAGTAGAGTTTGCCAGGCCGTTGACAACATCATTTTCTCCTTAAAATTTAATATATATTTCTTTCAAAAAGAGCTTTTATGTTCTGAATGATGTTCCATCTGGTAACCATTATAGCACCTAAAGAACTCAGAAGGAGTTGGAAAATGTTTGTCTTGGGATAGTTTTTTGATTTTTGTTTTCTTCACACCGGTTATTCGTTCTGTGTGCATTATTAAATTTAAAAAAAAAAAAATTTCTTTGAAAGATTCAATATTTCTTATAAGAAATCATCAATTTTCTTCATAATATGCTTCAAGGAAAACATTATAAGAAAATAGCTTCAAAAGTTAAAATAATTTTATCTTATTAAAAAATGAAGAGAAGAACAGTATGGGTTTAGGAGTGGATAATGAAGAATATGCTATGGTATTTGTTTGATGTTAATAATTGAATCATGTTTAAAATCAAATGAAACTTAAGAAATCTGTTGAAGATAACCTCTAGATGTATTCACTAGAAGTTTTACCTAGAAGTAGAAGTATTTAAATTAATTTCCTATATAAGTGAATTAATTTGGATTGGACTAAAAAAAATCCCTTNGTTTTTAACACTGTATATTGCCTTTTTTTTTTTTTTTTTTGCAATATGAAATGATCTCCTCCAATTCAGAAAATGTACTCTGAGAGGTAAGAAATGGCATCCATTTTGAAACATGTTAAAAAAAATTCAATAACAACAGAATACCCACTAAATAAAATTTTAAAAATAAATGTAAATTTATCATCAGAATCCAATAAATGATGATAGATTAATGAAAATTTAACAAGGAAAAAAATATATATATATCTATATAAGTGAATTAATTTGGATTGGACTAAAAAAAAATCCCTTTTTGTAGAAACAAGCTTATACTTATCTTTAATTATTTAAAATCCTTGGCATATCAGATTATTTTTGCTTTGTATTAAAAAAAGACTCGCAATGATTTTTATTTATTAGAAAAATATTGATAACATGCCATCATGCTAAAGTAAAAAATTTTCCATAGGACAAATTGAACTTGATGGAAAATTTGGTAATAATAATAACATTTTTGTCATTCGTTTTCGAGTTATTCTTACTTTATTGATTAAAATGATAGTTTTCATTGTAAATATGTTTATTATGTTTACAAAATTCAACAAAAACAACAAAAAATAGCTCCTGTTAAAAATTAATATATTATTACATTACGGACAGAATATGTTCTAATATACAATAACTGTGTTCTGTACACACATTAAACATATTAGAATTTTAACATATAGTATATAAGTATGCTATGAAACAACTTTAAAATGTAAATTATTTTGAAATCTAATAACCAAATTGCCAAATGTTTTCTCAAGTGTCATGACACTTAGATAAGTAGCAACTTGTTCTACTTTTGCCAGCAGATGACTGATAAAGTTTGAGTGTGCACGTTAGTGTTTACGCTCGACACTCTGTTAGAGCTGAATTTGTTGCAAGAGCATTAAGCTAATACTGTATGCAAATGTCTAATGTCGTTTGTATGACAAAGTTAACTGAAAATTAATAACTTTACAGTCTAAGCATTAGAATTAGATTGTAACTGTACATTTTTATAAATAGAAGACACATCACATTAAATAAGGCAAAATTTATTAGAATTGTTAATGTATTGTTTCCAGTTTCTTATAACAATGAAAAATTTATATATTTTTATCAAAAGTTTCTGTTTTAATGATTAATTTTTATATTTCATCAAATGTATAATTAGTTTTATAATATAAATTTACCAAATGATTTAATTAATGGAATTATAAATTTTAATTTATATTTTAAAATTATATATGTAAGTAAATAATGAAAAACTACCATAATATAAAGAATAATCTTTTTTAAAATTATTATATTAGTCAAATAGAAATGGCTGAAGTTTAATTTTAACTGGGTTTTACTCGAAACACCCAATGATGTTTATATATATTTTGAATTCAAGGTGTTGTGTACATATAATTATTTGGGTGTTTATTTGTATTTTAGTCGTATTACCTTTTTAAGATTATGTAAAGTAATTTATGACATTGTTTTTATTGTAGTTTTATATTGAGAAATATTTATAAATGACTTTACAGTATTTATATGTAAGATTATAAAATTATTTATTTGAAATTTTTAAAAATATATTTTTTTTTTATGTAGATTATAATGATATTTATCTTTTATGTAGATCATCACAGCGAACCGAGTGAGGATGGTGCTACATATCTGTTAGAACATTTGGCTACATTTTCAGTAGGAACTCAATACGGTAATTTTTTTTCTGTAATAAAATGATAAGGTTAACTTTTTTCCATTTTACCAATACATTTAAAAATTAATATATCTTTCATGTATGTTTTCAACTAATCTTGACCTATATGTACTCAAAGAGGCCCTGTTATCAGGGCATTCACAAGGAAACTGCCAAAGGCTAGTTTTTGGATAGGAAATATTTAATAGGCCAAAAGTTAATGAAATTTACTTTTTTTTTTTAAATATATTTTAAAATTTGATAAAGGTGTAATTAAACTTTTAATTTTGATTATTTTAAAATTGAGGAAAAGCAAAAGTTACATTTATTAATTTTTTAAAATTTAACTGTTGAATACATTAATTTATAATTAAGGTTTTTTATTTATTAATGTGCTAAAAACTCATTTATTTTGTATAATTCAAAGGTAAAAGCTATAGAGTCCAATTGTCTAAATTTATAGAACTATAAGAATTCTTTTAATTACTCTTTCTAATATTGCAACTTTATCTAACTACTACCATTCTGTTATTTTGATATAAACTTACAATACAGAAATTACTGTAAAGAATTGGTTAGCTGTTGGTAAAGTTATATTAAATAAGAGATGAGAAAGAATGCTTAATTCTGGAAACCAAATTAAAATTTTATTTGGTAAAATTTTCCAGAATTAAGCATTTTTTCTCATCTTTTCGAATATGGTGCCAAGTTTAAATGTTATTTATGTTAAATTAATTTGCGCAGCCAATTTCAGATCATCTTGAGATTTCAATCATTTGTCATTGACCTGTTTAGAAAATGATTTGATTTTTTTTTTTTTTTTAATATTAATGTGTTATATTGATTTTAATGTGCATTAATAAATAAATCCATTTCTATTTGTCAAAAATCCTATTAAAAATTAATAGTAACAAAAAGTTATTAATTAGGAATTATTATTATACTCCTAATTAATAATTTTAAGGATTAGAAAAGAATAAAATGTATTTATAACAAAATATTATGCCATTATATATTGAAAGTTGATAACTTTAATTAATTAAATGAAAAAATGAATTTTCAAAAATGTATTTACAATAATACAATGCACTAAATTCATGACAGTTTTGTGGAAATGATGTCAACTTAGTTCAATTTCTACTACTGCTTGTTTTTGCAAGATTGTTATTAGCTTAGTTAGCACTCTATTAGACTAACAATAAAACTTCCCATCTGCATTTATGCGATTTATAAAATAAGTGTAATAAACTAATCTCGGCCTTACTTAATTAGTTTATAGAATAGTTTATTGATAATTGTGATTAATTTCTGGATGTAGAATTCAGAACTCACTAAAGAAAATGAATATACTGTTATTAGAGGACACACTTAGCTTAATTATGCTTATGAATATGTTTTTGTCCATTATAGAATACATCCAAAAGCCCTTTAAGTTTTAGTAAAATGCACATTCAGAAATTGGAATTTGTATATTTATATAATAAATTGTTGATGCCAGATTGAGTAATGATGTGTAAATGACCTTGACCTAATTTTTGAAGATTAATATTAATTTTTCAATTGCTGAAAACAAAAACAAATTTGAATTATAAAGGTGTAGAATAAAACAAACTAAAAAGAAATAATTTCCATTTTAAACTTATAAATGAGAAAGAAATGTTATTTGCTTTTATTTTCTACAGCAAGCAAAATTTCAACATACCAATATATTGCAATACACTTTTTGTGTATATCATATATTGTATTTCAGTTCTTTATGATGATTTGTGGTTAATCATCATATTTTCTCTGTTAGCTGAAATATAATGATTAATGTAATTTAGCAATGACTTTCAGTTTCTTATTTCATATTCTAATAGGTTCTTAGTTTAGTATTTGGAACTGAAATATCCTATTGTCAAAATTAGATAGAGACAGAAAGTATGATACAAGGAACCTTGAAACAATATGTTAAATCATATAAACTGTGTCAGAATTGTGTTTGCCAGAGAAGTTGAAACGAAATGGTTGTTTTTTGACATTTCTCGTTTATAAATTTGAAACAAAAATATATAAATTGAATGTTTTTTCTCTCTCTCTAACTTTGTAATTTGAAATGTTTTCTTCTCTTTGATGATTAAAATGTTAATAGTTCATTGAATGTCAAAGTCTATCACTGAATTTGTCATTTTTAATTTATAGGGTCTTCCAAAATGAATATTGCTACCACTTTAATTTATTATAATTATGTTAATTATTATCTGAGAAGTATGTGATGTACACCAATCGATAGAATAACTGTCCATGTTTCATATCCAATCTGCATTTAAATGCCTTATTGTCTATCTCTAGGAAGTGCCATAAACAAAAATGACAAATCCATAATAGAGAAAGCACTTTGTGTTCGGCAATCCACAAAGTCAGAATCACTAGTCATTGTGCAACATGAATAATCTGCAGGAGCTTATAGAACTGGGGTGGCCAAGCTCCTTGATAGTCCGAGCCATTTTTCAAAATTTGAAATTTTTCGTGAGCCGCAATTAAATACGTATTAAAAAGGTATGCAAAAAATTCCAGATTACAAATTATATCCGTAGCAAGAGTGATACAAATTGTTTCCTCCAGAGCACAATGTCAACTGTCCGTTGCAATGACAGTTTACAAATTCAAAATCGGTCTGGAGTCGGTCGATAACGGACGATTACGCCACTGTTTATGTTCGTTCGCGCAGTTTTCGACGAGTCATATCATTCTTAACTTGGACGGAAATGAAATTTGTTACAACGTTGCACTTAGTCTTTCATATTTGCTGTTAGTAATTTAAAAGACATTTTGAAACACATACGGAACGATAATAATTTTTTAAAATATAATAACACAAAAATGAAAAGGGAACTCGGGTACATTTATCGAGAGCCATAAATAATCCTTCAAAGAGCCGCATGTGGCTCGCGAGCCGCAGGTTGGCCACCCCTGTTATAGAATTATGGCTGCTGCGGGAGGGGTGACAACGGATGTGCTGTAGTGAATGTAGAAAGAATGCGTATTAGTTGAAAGTGTGTCACGACACAAGGTGCACATTGAGAAATTGTAATGGGTAAATGTGAAACTTGGACAGTTTTTCAATATTTTAAGTTAATTACTGTGTTCTCAGATAATAATTAACATAATTACAATAATTTAAACTGGAGCATTCTTTTTGGAAGACTATATAATTTAGTATTTATTTTACATAATATCTGTTCAAGTACTTAATTTTAATTTCACATGTAAAATACTTTTATGAGATTTGTTGCAAAAATTCTTATTACTAGTAGAATATATGTAAACCTCATTTCACATTAAGTTTATATTCTTGAAAACAAAGTAATTTTTAATTTCCATAGTAACTAAACCTGTTTACTGTTTATTTTCTTTGATTCTAGTTTTCATTGCACAGAAATAATGTAATTAAAATATCAGCAGGAATCTTCTTATTAACTGAATTCTAAGAAATTTGAAGATTGAAAGTTTACATAAACAAACTGATTAAATAGTATTTTGTAAAATTATTTTTCAGAAATTAAAAAAAAAAAACATATTTTAAACTTTTTTAATTGAGTAAAACAGTTGTTTAACAGCAACCGGTTTATCCTTAAATTTTGTTTTTCATAACAAAGAACTTAATTTCTGTTGGTGTAATATTAGTCGCTTTAAAAATAATCATCATAATAATTATGATTTGATATGAATATTTCACTAAAAAGTTTTTAATAGTTACGTTTAGACCAGAAAAATTTTGATAAACTCTAAAACTTTCTGAAAAAGGACTTTTTCTGGTCACATAAATTCAAGGTTGTTGAGTAAAGTCTATAATTATTCTATTATTCAGAAGATTGTTTACAGGTTTAAGATAATTAAAATTCATGATATGAGAAAAGCAATTAATTCCTTGTAATATTAACTATTAAAAGAAGTTTATCCTTAATAACGAACATGGAACAGGTGTGAAGAAAAAAAAAATGCTATCTCTAGACAAACATTTTCTAACTCATCTTGAGTTCTTCTATACAGTGGATCTGGAAATTGTGGCGGACTTCACTATGGCCAAACTTCTCTTCACAACATCCCACACAGAGCACCTCAGATGGTTGGAGACCATAGAAATCTTTAAAGCTAATTTTGCGTCATCTTGTATAAATTTTGAGGAGGAAATGAATTCATTGATGGCCTGGCAGGCTCCACTTGAGATGAAGGTATAGTCATTGGTTGACTCTTGTTATGCGCAGGACAATGCATGGGCGGTTTTAAATTTTTGTACTTATAGTTCAAATGTGGTTCGAATTTAATTTCTTTCAAAAAGGCTTTTATGTTTCGAACAATATTTCATTGGGTAACCGTTATAGCACCTGAATAATTCAGAAGGAGTTAGAAAATGTTTGTCCAGAGATTTTTTCTTTCTTTCTTTACACTGGTTATTGGTTCTGTGTTTGTTATTATGCATTTCCCCATGTGGTGTGTTGTAATTTATCCTTAAAAAATTTAATTGTTTTTGTCTATCTTTTGCCATCAAGAACACTAAGAAAAATTAGAAATCTTTTGATATATTAATTATTTCTAAAACTAAATTAATGTGAAATAAAACAAGAAAATTAATTAGATTTCTTTGATGAAAAAACTAAAGAAATTTAATTAATTTGAATTGATATTTTTAATGAAAATAGCAAAACGCTTAGGCTGTAAAATATTACTTTGAACAGCACTTTGATACTTTGATAAGATTAGTTGTATCATAATTTTAATATGTCTATGATCAGCAACTTTGCATTTGAATTTTTATTACAAACTGTATTAAAACTGTTAAATTAATATAATCTGGTCTGAAGTAAAAACATTTAAAAATTAAGAAATTGTATGTGAAATAATGTGTTGACCGTCTCATGTAAAAATCTTTCTTGTGATGTTACCGTAGATACAGATAAACCTCAACTTAAGATTAGTTTCCATTTCGACAATCTGATAGTAAGTCTAACATAGTAAATGCAAACAAAAACACCACCACTACAGAACAAAAGTATCACACTGCAAGGCATTTTTATGCTAAGGTGACCATAAACAGTAATCAATGTTGATAACAACAAAAACGGAATATACATTATATGTAATAACGCCATTTGTTATAGCTATTGTGAAGCAAATCTAAAAGGATATGAGCTTTTGTACAGTTATTAGAGTAGCACTCTAGATGTTTTGCTTTGTTTCAATCATAAGTTCCTTGCGCTTGTCAATACGGCTACTGCAAATGTCTGTGGGAGAGCATCATAACTTTGAATGGTTATAAGTTGAGTCGTATCTGTACACTTAATAATACACACATTAAATACATCAAAATAAACATTCTGAAGTTCATTGATAAAACAGAAATAGTTAATTTTAATGGTTGTAATTTTTTTTTAGTTTTTTTTAAATGCATTATTAGTATTTTTACTCTGACAAATTTCCTAAAACTGTATTTACTTGTAATTATCAAACAGTTTTTCTGAAAATTCTTTTTAAATATGAGTTTGTTTTATCAAAGTGTATTTGGAATTATATCTTAAACTTTTTTTTTACAATCATTCAAATACAAATTACAAAGATAAGACATATACGTGTCATTATCTGATTTTCTATAAATAAACTTTCGTTTTTAATGTCTATTTTAATAATAGTAGACACTTATTAATCTATATCTTAATAATTAATTAAAGTTAAGAAAAAATAAACAAACAATCAAGAGCGAATAGGTAATGTTTAACCTAATGTTCGAATTTATTCTTTATCAAGTGTGCAGCCGTGTAGTTTGGCCTTTTAGGAAAATATTTTCATCTTATCAGCAAGAATATTAGATGATAATTAAGAATTCATTTAGAAAAATTTATATGTATGCATTGTAATTAAATTAGTAACATGTAATATATTTATTTCTTTGCTGAAATGAACTTAATTAGATAGAATAAATGTTTTTATTTCTTTTAGATGGATCTAATGAATTTCTAATTCTTCCAGCTAAAAAAGTTTGTCTAATTTACATAGTATTTTTGTTTTCCCCCCTCCACATTGAAACTAAGTATGCATTTGTTAAGAAGTTCTGAAAATACAGGTAGGCCTCCTACAACGCAGTAGATACGTTCCTTGAAAATACCGCGTTGTGGGAAATCACGTTATAGGAGACACCAACTCAATACAAAAACTGGGATTCAGTTCTAAAAAGAGAAAAACTTGGCATTTGAATGGCGTTTTTTGAATTTTTCAAAGCGGCCATTGGTAGCCACGAATTTAACACTGGTTTCATCAGCTGAGCAGTCGCGTAGCATAGTGGGGGCGGCAGGGGCAGCCCGCCCCGGGCGACACTTTTAGGGAGCGGAAAAATTTCACAATAAATAATAATAATATTTTGTAAAAATTTGAACCATTTCATTTCATATTTTTGTCGCACCTACGATTCGGACCGATTGAAATGAGCACGGAATTGTTCATTACTTATTTCTGTGATGTGAAATTTTCCTCCGCTCCTGGCGGCTGACACCACGCTACGCCACTGCAGCTGACGACTGTCCCATTTGTTTCAAATAATCAAATATTTTTAAGGCTTTGTGTTTAAGTGCAGTTTTATTTAAAGGCAACCGTTTCTTGTTCATATCTTCTACCCATGATATTAGCGCTTGTTCCATTTTTTACATTATAGGTGCTCTCGGACTAGCAACATTTTTCGCAAGAATAGATGATCCGGATGCGACCAAATTTCTAATCTTTTCTCCCGATTGCTTAATCGACCGAATAGTCAACTCATTTAAATTAAAATGCCTACTAATATCAGCTATCCGCTCTTGATTTTTAATTCGATCCAAAATTTCTATCTTTGAAGAGTTATAAATTTCCTTTTTAATGACAGTCCTTTCTTTTCATTTGGCATTGTTATGGCTAAAATTTTTTCAATCAGTTTTGTGGACAGTAAAAATCACAAAAAATAACTTTTCTTCACTATGTTGTTAAAAATATACACCCAATAGAAGTTTATACTGTATTTTGAACCATTTTTGCTGTCCCCACTTACTGAAACAGTATAAATGATGGAAAATTTAGTGATATATTTGTGTTTACAATAACTGATGCACATCTGTCTAGAAACGGTCTTCCCCTGAAACTTTCAAGGGAATAAATAACACGCCAACAGTGACAAACAGCTGTTTTCAAGGACATTTAGTTCTGTATGCCGAATTGCAGTTAGTATCACGTGATCCGTTGCGATTTTTCTGTTATGTGAAAGATAATTCGTTTCTAAATACCGTAAACCGCGTTGTAAAAGTACCGTGTTGTAAGAAAATTTCCGCATTTTTCCAACCGCGTTGGAGCGAAAACGCGTTGTAAAGGTACCGCGTTGTAGGAGGCCTA